GAGAAAAAAGAACAAAGCTGGAGGCATCACAATCCCTCGCTTCAAAATATACCACAAAACTGTAATAATCAAAACAGCATGGTACTGGTGCAAAAACAGATACAAAGATCAATGGAACAGAATTGAAAGCCCAGAAATAAAACCACATATCTATGGTCAGTTAATCTTCCACAAAGGAGCCAAGAACATACAACGGAGAAAGAAAGTCTCTTCAATAAATAGTGTTGGGAAAACAAGACAGCCACATGCAAAAGAATGAAAACAGACCATTATCTTGCACCATACACAAAAGTTAATGCAAAATGGATGAAAGACTTGAATGTAAGACCTGAAATCATAAAACTCCTAGAAGAAAATATAGGTAGTACATTCTTTGACATTGGTCTTAGCAGCATCTTTTCGAATACCATGTCTACTCAGACAAGGGGAACAAAAGAAAAAATAAACAAATGGGACTACATCAGACTACAAAGCTTCTTCAAGGCAAAGGAAACCATGAACAAAATGAAAAGACAATCCACCAACTGGGAGAAAATATTTGAAAATCATATATCCGACAAGGGGTTAATATCCAAAATACATAAAGAACTCACAACTCAAGAATAAAAATACAGGCACCAGCCCTGTGGCTGAGTGGTTAAGTTCACACGCTCCACTTCGACGGCCCAGGGTTTCGCCGGTTCAGATCCTGGGCGTGGACGTGGTACTGCTCATCAAGCCATGCTGAGGTGGTGTCCCACATGCCACAACTAGAAAGACCCACAACTAAAAATATACAACTATGTACTGGTGGGTTTTGGGGAGAAAAAGGAAAAATAAAACCTTAAAAAAAAAAAAAAAAGAATAAAAAGAAAAACAACCCAATCAAAAAATGGGCTGGAGACATGAACAGATAGTTTTTCAAAGAAGATATACAGATGGCCAACAAGTACGTGAAAAGATGTTCAACATCACTAATTATTAGGGAAATGCAAATCAAAACTACAATGAGATATCATCCTACTCCTGTCAGAATGGCTATAATTACCAAGACAAAAAATAATAAACGTTGGAGAGGATGTGGATAAAAGGCAACTCGTACACTGCTGGTGGGAATGCAAACTGGTGCAGCCACTATGGAAAGCAGTATGGAGATTTAAAAAAAATTAAAAACAGAAATACTATATGATCCAGCTATCCCACTACTGGGTATTTATCCAAAGAACTGGAAATCAACAATACAAAGAGATCTATGCACCCCGATGTTCACTGCAGCATTATTCACAATAGCCAAGACGCGGAAGCAACCCAAGCGCCCCACTATGGATGAACAGATAAAGAAGATGTGGTATATAGGTACAATGGAATACTAGTCAGACATAAAAAATGACAAAATCATTCCATTTGCAACAGTATGGATGGACCTTGAGTGTATGATGTTAAGCGATATATGCCGGATAGAGAAAGACACATACTGCATGATTTCACTCATATATGGAAGATAAACACACGGATAAAGAGAACAGGTTAGTGGTTACCAGATGGGAACAGGGCTGGGAGGTGGGCAAAAGTGGTAAAAGGGCACGTATGTATGGTGATGGATAAAAATTAGACTATTGGTGGTGACCATGATGCACTCTATACAGAAATTGATAAATAATAATGTACACCTGAAATTACACAGTGTTATAAACCTTTATGATTTCAATAAAATAACTGAAAAAAGGAAAGAAAAGAAAGGAGAAAAGCCATTAAATCATTTCTATATCTATATATAGAAGAAGTATTTGACAAAATTCAATTGCCATTGATATTTTAAACCTTTCTTAAATTAGGAAAAGAAAGGAATTTCCTTGATCTGATAATGGCCATCTATGAACAGTCTAATCTAATATCAAACTTAATGGTGAAATATTGAATTCTTCCCCCTAAAATCAGGAAGAAGCTAAGGATGCCCACTCACACCACTGTATTCAACATTGGACTGGTGGTTGGAGGAAGTGCAATAAGGCAAGAAAAAAAAGGCATAAATATCAAAAAAGCAGAGGTGAAATGATCTCTGTTTGCAGACGATGTGATTGCTTACATAGAAAAACCTAAGGAATCTACAAAACAACTAGAACAAGTGAATTTAGCAAGATTGCTGAATAGAAGATCAATATAAAAAATCAATTGTATTTTAATACTAGCAGTAGACAATTGGAAAATGAAATAAAAATTTCATTTATAATAGCATAAAAAATAAAATATTTGGGCACGAGTTTTTAAAAATATATGCAAGACCTGTATACTTTAAAACTACAAAGCCACTGCTGAGAGAAATTGAAGAAGAACTAAAAAAATGAAAGAGATAATATGCTCATGAATTGGAAGACTCATTATCATTGTCAATTCTCCCCAAATTAATCAGTTTATTCTATGTTATTGTAATCACAATCCTACCTCTTATTTTTTTTTTTTTTTTGTGAGAAAGATTGGCCCTGAGCTAATATCTGTTGCCAATCTTCCTCTTTTTGCTTGAGGAAGATTGTCACTGAGCTAATATCTGTGCCAGTCTTCCTCTATTTTGTATGTGGGACACTGCTACAGCATGGCTTGATGAGTAGTGTGTAGGTCTGTACACAGGATCCAAACCTGTGAACCCCAGGCTGCCGAAGCAGAGCACGCGAACTTAACCACTATGCCACTGTGCCAGCCCCAGAATCCCACCTCTTTTTTATGTAGAAAGTGACAAGTTGATTTTAAAATTTATATGGAAATAAAAAAGACCTAAAATATCTAAAGCAATCTTGAAAAAGAAGAATCAATTTGGGAGGATTTATAATACCTGATATGTCAAGACTTTCTTTAAGCTACAGTAATCAAGACAGTGAGTTAGGGTATAAAGACAGACACAGAGATAAATGTAACAGAATAGAGAGCTCACAAATGGATCTACATTTAAAAGGTCATTTGATTCATTTTTATTTATTTATTTTTTGAGGAAGATTAGCCCTGAGCTAACATCTGCTGCCAATCCTCCTCTTTTTGCTGAGGAAGACTGGCCCTGCGCTAACATTTGTGCCCATCTTCCTCCACTTTATATGTGGGACGCCTACCACAGCATGGCTTGCCAAGCAGTGCCATGTGCACACCTGGGATCTGAACCGGCGAACCCCAGGCCACCAAAGCGGAATGTGCAAACTTAACCACAGTGCCACCAGGCCAGCCCCTGATTTTTCATAGAAGTACCAAAGCAAACCAATGGAGGGCCTTTTCCACAAATGGTGCTGGTACAACTTGACATCCATGTGGAAAAAAAGAAATACTGACCTTTTCTTCACACCATATATAGAAATTAATTTGAGATGGATCATATATGATATATAAGGCTAAAATGCTAAAGCTTCTAGGGGAAATATCTTCACAGTTTGGTGATAGATAAAGGTTTATTAGGATCAGAAAGTAATAACCAGAAAATCAAAATTTGATACATTAGACTTTATCAAAATAAAAAAATTTCTGTTAATCAAAAGACATGATTAAGAAACTGAATAGGGAAGCCATAGACTAGGAAAATATTCACAAAATATATCTGATATAGGACCTATATCTAGAATATATCAAGAACTAATAAAAATGGGCAACCTAATTAAAATGGGCAAACAATTTGAACAGACACTTCACCAAAGAAGATATCTGAATGACAAGAACACAAAAAGCTGCTCCATAGCAGAAGTCATCAGAGAAATACAAATTAAGAACACAACGAGAAATCTTTATATATACTCCAGAACCTCTAAAATTAAAAAAGACTGATGCCACCAATTGTTGGGAGTATAAAAAGATACACTGTGAAAAACAGTCTGACAGTCTATTATAAATGAACTCATCTTCCCCTGGATCCAGCAATGCTCTCCTAGGTATTTATCAAAGAGAAATAAAAATACATGTCCTCAAAAAGACTAACAGAAGAATGTTCATAGCAGCTTTATTTAAGATAGCCAATAACCGGAAACAGCCAAGGTGTCCAGTAGAAAATGGATAAACAAATTATGGAGTATTCACACAATGGATTACATTTCATAAAAGGGAACAAACTACTCTATATGCAACAACATAGATAGATCTCAAAAACATGCTGGGAGAAACTTTAGAAAGAGTGTACATTGTATAATTCCATTTGTATGAAGTTCTATAACAAACAAAATTAATCTATGGTGAAAAAATACAGAATTAAGTTTGCCTCTTGGTGAGTGAGGGCAGAAATCAACTGTGAAGGGGCACAAGGGAACTTTAAACAAATAGTGAACTTAAATTAATGTTCATGCTGAAGTGTTTAGGAGTGAAGTGCATTTATGCCTGTAACTTACTTTGAATGCATCAAAAAAGAAGAGAGATTGATAGTTAGAGGGTTGAATATTTGCATAGATATCCTATCAGGGAAATACAGCAAAATGTTAATTGAGCTGGATATACAGATATTCTCTGAATAATTATTTCAACTGTTCTGTTTGAAATTTTTCATAATAAAACGATGGGGAAAAATTGTGTTTTCAATTCCTATGCTTTCTCACCTGGCCTGTACAAACTGCGACTGAATTTATATGAAGTAAGCTAATAGGGGGGACTATTCTCAGAGTCATGATTTTATCTTAAAAAAAAGCAAAACTTTGATACAAAAAATAAACCAAACCATTCCTTCTCACCAAAGAATGAATTAAAATGCATAGTGACTTTAGTTTCACATTATATATGTCATGACTCTGGCTCAATGAGAGAAGTTCTAAAGGTTCATGCACTGTGCCTCAGCTTAGATGACTATTTTCCAAGGCTAAACATCTAAAGATGGGCATCTGCCTTGACTATAGCCTTTAGCACAAGCTTGGCCTCTCAGGGTGAAATGCAAGGCTCAAAACAAAACAAAAAAAAAAAACAATGTCAAGAAAAACTCACTTATTACTGTTAAGGAAGGGTAGTCACCTCATATATTACAGATTCAGTGTTTATACCTTCAAGAAAAAACTTTTGAGTTTCATTACCTTTATCAAGAGATGCTCCAGCCATATGGTAAAAGCTCAATGCAGTGTCCACATCGTTAATATTCTTTAGGAAAGTAAAGAAGTTCTCCACTTCCTGAAATGTCAGACCCTGAAAGAAGACAGACAGCAAGGTAAGGCAGGAACCTCTAACAAAAAGCAGCATAAAATGCAGAAAACTAGACAATTATTCATGTCTATAAATCAGAAATTTATGCTATGTCTAGAGCCGAGACTGAATAAATTAGTCAAGGAATGTCAAATTTGTACACAACAGGGGAACAAAACTCTAGAATTTTACCCTGAGAAAGGCAAGCTGGCTAATTGCTTTCCCCTTACAGGAAGACAAATACCATATGATTTCACTCATATGTGGAACATAAACACACACACACAAACATACACACACATAGATACAGAGAACAGATTGGTGGTTAACAGAGGGGAAGGAGGTGGGGGAGGGTGAAAGGCGTAAAGGGTACATTCATACGGTGATGGATGGCAGCTAGACTTTTGGTGGTAACACGACATAGTCTATATAAAAGTCTAAATATAATGATGTACATCTGAAATTTACATAATGTTATAAATCAGTGCTACCTCAATTAAAAAAATTGACATGAAGCTGTTTACAGTGATGGCTGGATATCTTCAATGAAAATATTTCTAACTGTGCCCTCCAATTAGTCACAGTTATCTATTATGACACTTCCTAAATGAGCTGTAGCCATTTGATCTGTTATACATCTTAACAAGTAAGATCAGGGTCAGGACTTTGATTTTAATAATCTAATCATAGGCCAACTAAGCTTTTTGAGGCTTAAGCTAATTAAAGAATCACCAAAGTCAGTGATATACAGGGGAATGGTTTCAGAAGTTCGCAGAACCCAAACACTTGGGAAGCTGTTCATCATCTCAGTTTAAAACCTACTAATGAAGCAATTTGATACTTAACTTTAATCTGATGACACTCTGTGAAGAAATTCTTTTCAAGAGATGGTCAAAGATTTGCTGACCTCTAATTCTGCTTTCTATGATGGCTCAATAGAGTCGTTTTATAAATAGGGGCTTTGGGATTCCCCTGACAGGGAGGAAGATCTGTGCTATTTGTCTATTTCCCACATCTCACGCAACATGCTGTGATGGAAATGAATACAATTTCTAAGAAGTGAATAACACTGGGGAGACACTGATTTTAATGCTTTTTAATGAAGCATCAGGTCCTTAATGGATTGCAGATGTTGACCAGCTTCTGCTTAGTGCTGCTCCTCTTCTGATTTCCATTTCCCCAAACCACAGAGCCCAGGAATCCACATTAGGAACTCAGTAACAAGGAAACCTTAATATAGACAATCTATAGTACTTTCCTGGTACTCTCCAAACTGGGTCAATGGTATCTTTCTCATTTTTTTTTTAAAGGTTTTATTTTTCCTTTTTCTCTCCAAAGCCCCCCAGTACATAGTTGTGTATTTTTAGTTGTGGGTCCTTCTAGTTGTGGCATGTGGGATGCCACCTCAGTGTGGCTTGACGAGCAGTGCCATGTCTGCGCCCAGGATCTGAACCGGCGAAATCCCAGGCCGCAGAAGCAGAGTGCACGAACTTAACCACTCAGCTACAGGGCCGGCCCCTATCTTTCTCATTTTATCAATCAGACTAAGAGCTAAAATACTCTATGTTTGATTATGTCACATGATCTTTGTAGTTTTTCCTCCTAGAATCATAAGAACTTAAAAAACTTTTCATTGTGGAATATGATGACCATGTGGAAAGGTGCATAAAACATAAATGTACAACTTAACAAACTGTTATAAAATGAACACCCCCAAAACCTCAATTCAAGTCAAGAAACAGACTATCAGCATCCCCAAAACCTCCCTCCCTTCCCGCAACATGGCCCTTACTAACCAATCATAAGCCTCTTCTCCTCCCAGTGGTAATCACTACTCTGACTTTTTGGGGGTTCATTTCCTTGCCTTTTTTTTTTTTTTAAAACAGCATTGCTATCTATGCATCCTTAAGCAGAAACAAGAGTTTAATTATGTCTGTTTTTGAACTTTATAAATGGAATCATGCACTATGCACTCTATTATATATGGCTTCTCTCTTTAAGATTTGTCCATGTTTTTGTGCATATCTGCAGTTCACTCATTTTTATTGCTATAAGTATTCCACTGTGTGAATATACCACAATTTGTTTATCTACTTTTTTTTGGCTGTTTCCAGTTTTTGGCAGTTTTTAACTGTGGTGCATCTGTATTTAAGCATTCATTAAAACATTTATGGAGTACCTACTACGTACCAAGCTCCATAATTTTTGGCAGTGAACTGGAAGGCCTATATTAGGTAATTTTTCCCTAACTGGAGGTCATTCTCTTGGCCTTGACTTAGAGCACCCAGAGGTAGGTCTCCTTCCTTACATGATTGCCATAGTATGCTATCTAATGTAAGCACTAGGCTAGAATCAACCTGGTCCCACTGCACCAGAAGCACAGGTTCTACAATATCACCTCCTTGTGGATGGATACACTAATACCATCTTCTTTTCCCTTCTATCAAAAGACACGCAGAGGTGGAAAAAAACCAAGTGTCCACTGATGAATGAATGGATAAAAAAAAAATGTGGTATATACATATAATGGAATATTATTCAGCCTTGAAAAGGAAGGAAATTCTGACACATGCTACAACATGGATGAACCTTGAAGACCTTATGTCAAGTGAAATAAGCGAGTCAGAAAAGGACAAATACTATATGACTCCACTTATATGAGGTATGTAGACTAGTTAAATTCATAGAGACAGAAAGCAGAACGGTGGTTGCCAGGGGCTGGGGGGAGGAGGGAATGGGGAGTTAGTGTTTAATGGGTATGGAGTTCCAGTTTGAGAAGAAGAAAAAAGTTCTGGAGATGGATGGTGGTGATGGTTGTACAACAGTGTGAATATACTTCATGCCACAGAACTATACACTTAAAAATGGTTAGAATGGTACATTTTGCTGTGTATATTTTACCACAGTTAAAAAAAAAAGACATGCTAACGCTTTTTTACTTTTCTTATTAAGGTGTGGACTTCCATAGGCAGGGGAGGATAGGGAGCTGAATTATTGAAAGGATTTTTAAGGCTAAAAGGTTAACATAAAATCGAAAACAGAAAACCATGGTAGAGGAAATGCTTCCTACTCTGATAAACAACCTCTAATGTTTGTTAGTTAATTTATTGCAAAACATCAAATACAACAGCTCGAGACCAGAGTGCTTACACTCAGAATTATTTGAGGACAATGGAGAGAACAATCTGAATTGAGTGATTGTTCATTTGATGATTTAGAAAAATAGTGGAATACAAATCACATTATATCATTATTAAATCAAAGTATGCAACACTTTGCCTTTTATTATATAGATATAATATAAAATATTTATTGAGCACTAACAACTCAGCACTATGCCAGGAACAGTGAGGAAAATAAAACTGCGTTGGACATGGGCCTTGATTTTATAGAGCTTACAATTCAGATAGGCTTCTTAAAGAAAAGATGATGCCAGTCACAAAATTCTTATTTCTCAGTAACTACCTTAGTAAAGAATCCAAAGTGTTATTAGAATCAAACTAGAATAACACTATAACTTGAAGTTTGGGAATGGAAAGTGAAAGGATATGCTTTTTCAAGTTGAGTTGTTCAGACTAGTAGGCTATAGCTTATGCACAATCTATTGTCAAAAGGAAATACGCAGGGCTGGCCCAGTGGCACAGTGGTTAAGTTCGCACGTTCTGCTTCGGGGGCCTGGGGTTTGCTGGTTTGGATCCTGGGTGCGGACATGGCACTGCTTGGCAAGCCATGCTGTGGCAGGTGTCTCACATATAAAGTGGAGGAAGATGGGCACGAATGTTAGCTCAGGGCCAGTCTTCCTCAGCAAAAAGAGGAGGATTGGCAGATGTTAGCTCAGTGCTAATCTTCCTCAAAAAAAAAAAAAGGTAATATCCTTCTCTTAGGCTTGGCAACAAAGAGATTTTCTTGACATACTATGGGGAAGTAGAAGAAGGAGGAGTTATTTTATTCTGTGACCAACTGTTCAACACATCAGTTATCTATTTACCTTTGGAAAGATGGACTTATATAAAACTTGGCTCTAGATGATTAAAAAAAGAAGATAAGATTAACAGTACTATGTGGACAGCAGAAACACTTCTTTATTTTGCTTAAAAAGGAATTTAATATTAGGAGGTTGTTAAACAAGCAAATAGAATTATCTTTCAAAACTAAAAGCAAATGATAAAATGTTCAGAAGAAAACAAAAATATCTTCATGACCTTGGGTGAGGCAAAGAGTTCTTAGATATGACACTAAAACACAATCCATAAAAGAACAAAATCGATAAATTAGACTTCATCAAAATTAAAAACTTTTGTACTTCGAAATATTGAGAAAATAGAGAAATCACAGACTGGGGGAAAATATCTAAAAATCATATATCTGATAAAGGATTTGTATCCAGAATTATGTAAAGAACTCTTACACCTCAATAATGAGATAATGATAACCCAATTAAAAAATATTTGAGACATCTTACCAAACAAGATATATGAATGGCTAATAAATACAGCGTTCAGGATAATCAGTCATGAGGGAAATGCAAATTAAAACCACAAGACACCACTACACACCTATTAGAATGACTGTAATAAAAAAGACAGACAATAAGAACTTTTGATGAGTATGTGAAGAAACTAGAACTCTCATATATTCCTGTACATGTAACATGAAATGTACATGTAACATTCCTGAAATGTCACATGGTACAGCCACTTTGGAAAACAGCTTGGCAGTTTCTTTAAAAAAAAAGTTAAATATAATTTTACCATACAACCCAGCCATTCCACTCCTAGGAATCTCCTTCTGAAAGGAAAACATAGGTCCACATAATGACTTGTATGCAAATATCCATAGCAGTGTTATTCATACTTGTCAAAAAGTGGAAACAATTCAGATGTTCACCAACTGATGAATGGATAAACAAAATGTAGTATATCCATACAATGGAATACTACTTACTCTTCAGCAATAAAAAGCAATAAACTACTAATATAAGCAACAAATGGATGAACCTCAAA